GCTAACGCCGCTGTGCCTCGTGTGTACAGAAAAAGAAGAAAAAAATGATAACACAGGAAAAAAAAAGTGGAACTTCATTAACTTTTCCTCTTCTTTTTTTTGTCTACCACCTGCTGTGTGCACTTTCATTGTTATTTACACCCTTTTAGCTAACTGGATATTGCTGAGTCTGGCCAAATGTAAGCACACAACCTGTGGGATGAATGTGATGGATTTCTGGTATCACTGGTCTTTATTTGTGGTGTGACTATAACCACAATTCCCCAGTCACAGCTTATTGCAGGGTGAAGCTGAGCGAGATATACTCCGCGGCTGGCATGAAGCCACTGGACTTTGTAATAATTCATTGGCCAAAAAGCCCTCCATGTACCCACTGTGCAATATTTATACCCCACTGAATGTATTTCTTCAGCTACATCACCGCGCAGGCTTGGGTCAGGGATTTTCTCTCCTCAAAACGGGTTCTAGTATATCAGATGCTGGTTAAATGTGGGAAATGACACTAGGAATTTGCCCCGATCACACTCTGGCTGCTTACAATGCTGCACAGCTGGTAGCTGTTAAAATTGTTTTATGCTTTGTTGTGTTGCAGCGCCAACATCTAAAACACTGTATGTAGTTTTTTCTCTTCCTGACAATACAACTAAGTTAAAGAGATGAAAATGATGATCCTGTGTAAATATGCAATAGCTTTTTTTTTATGTCAGGTTGCTGTAAGCCTGTAATCTTGTATTCATCACTGACAGTTTGTTGTGATATCCTTGCATAGGTACTATGATACTCTACAGTACCTCATTTATTTAAGGTTTTAGTTAGTCCTTTCTTTGTTTTGTTTTCTCATTTTCTCATGTATTTTTTTTCTTTCTCTGGTTCTGCTGGAGGTTTCTTCCTGTTAAAAGGGAGTTTTTCTTTGCCACTGTTGCCAAAGTGCTTGCTCATAGGGGGTCATATGATTGTTGGGTTTTCTCTGTATGTGTTGCACCCCACTTTGCAGTTATTTATTTGTCATGTATGATTTTCGTTCCACTTCTCACGTGTACACCACTTTGTGTTGGTCTTTCACGTGGAATTCCAATAAAATTGATTCATGTTTGTGGCTGTAATGTGACAAAATGTGGAAAAGTTCAAGGGGGGCAAATACTTTTGCAAGCCACTGTATTATTGTAGGGTCTACCTTACAATATAAAGCGCCTTGAGGTGACTGTTGTTGTGATTTCGTGCTATATAAATAAAACTGAATTGAATTGAAAGGTGATTCACACACAATGTAAACATCTTACATTGTGATTTAAATAAAAAAAAAATTAAAAAAAGCCTTTTCTGCTGTTGATGAGGCTGAACGGACACAAGACAAACACCAGAAAAAAATACTGTTATCTCTAGGGGCAACAGTAATTTTGACTGGAGGAAATAAGGGAGCATAGTTGAGGTCCATTCCCACTAAATGTGTCAAGCATGAGATTCCTTCTTCCATTAAGACGTCAAAACTGTTCATGCTTTTCACAAGCCTTGAGGGCATGAATCTCACTATGATACAATGTAATCAGTTTTTGTGTTTGTCTGTTTGTTAGCAGTCTAACATCCACAGTTTTCAAGATATCATGTTCAAATTTTGTCTGATGGTAGATACAAAAGACAGCTTATTTCATTTTGGTGAAAATCGACACCAAATGTGAAAACCAGTAAAAAGTTAAAAAGTTATCATTTTTTTATTGAAACATCACAACAATACACCAACTAGGCTGGCTAAGCATTTGACCTTGACCTTTGCTGTTCATGCCCAAGGTCAAAGCTGACCTTGAAAAACAATTGCAAGAAACCATATCAACTAATCTTTTATATGACTATGGAGAGGGCTGTACAACACAGTGTTTATTTTTTCAGTACAAAACCCTAAGACATCACAATGATGACATAAAGTTTCACATAATGACATAGTAATTGAGAAATCTGCAAGCTTTTTACAGCTTGAACAGGCAAAGGATTTCAGACAGCTCTGCTCTAATCATATTTGTAAAATTAATAAAATAGACCATATTAGAAGTAATGCTTCAAGGTCATAGGTCAAAGGTTAGGATCACATGAATTTGGGGTGGCCGTCGCTCAGGTGGTAGAGCAGGTCACCTGCTACTCGGACGTTTGGTGGCTTGATCCCCGTCTGCCAAATATCCTTGGGCAACATACTAACCCCAAGTTACTCTCTGATGCATCCATCTGAGTTTGAATGTGTGTAAATGTTAAATAGAAAAAAGTGCTTGTGCGAATGAGTGTGAATACATGAATGAGGCAAGTTAGTAAAGCACTTTGAGTGCTTGGAGAAAGTAGAAAAGCGCTATATAAGACTGGTCCATTTAGCATTAGGAAAAGGCTTTAGTTTCCACTGGATCGTCTTCAAACTTTACGCAATATAAGAGTGACTGGGAGACATAAGCACTTCCTTGAGCTCCTTAAAACATATTTTTTCATTACAACATTACATGACTTCATATTGAAACCAAAAGATTAATATACTACACTAGATTTCCATTAACAATGCTGACATCAGCACAAATGATCTATGAAAACAGTGCAGACGTCATTATTGGGGGTTTCAGTATTACGAATGATGACATCAGCATAAATAACACCAGTTTTAGTATTGCTGTTCCCTGTCGGGGATAGTTAGCTCTCTGAGTGCTCTCGTCTTTATCTGTGTCTTTGTTTGTTTCTTTTTCTGTTTACTCCTTCTAGACTACTGAGACCTCAACAACCAGGCCTGGCACACAACTACATCTTAGGCTTCAGTAGTTCTTATCTATATCAGATATTATGGTCATTATATTGCCCGAGTCATTGTTTTTTTTCTGTGTTGAATTATGACATAGTTAATATTCATTTTAGATGTTAAGCAGACTTTCTGTGTTACGTTTGCATTTTTGCAGTATGTACAAAGCTGATTAAACCAACTTTATGCTGATTATGCACAACTTTTCACTTACTTGTTATCAGCCTTAAATCACTAATCTTGTCCCATTTCACATATCCGGTCGTTAAGTCTGACATCACTAGCCGTGTCTGGGCCTAAACTCCGCTGCAGGTCCATATATCAAACGATCACTATGGCATTACTGAGAGTTGAAAAACTGTCTAAAGTCTTTCATCTTTAATAAAATGATCAGCGTTCTGCTCTACCAGGTGTAACAATTGAGTTTAACATCCAGGCATCCATGAAAACAGAATTTATGACATTTAAGGAGTTAGAAGTTAGCAGGGAGTTAGCTCGCTAGCTTCTATCTAAATACAATATAGCATGTCCTGACTGCGGGGTTTTGGAAACAAATTAAAACGTACAGCTCTGTTATCACTTCCACATAAATGAAGACAGAAAACTAAACAGCAGTGACGTTTGTAGGGTTACTGAAGTTGGGCTAGCTGGTATATAATGATGTGCTACGTGACCGCTAGCGACACAGCTATGTTAGCATAATATAAACAAGCTAACTTTTTTTCCACTCGATAAAAGTTAACGTGAGTGTTCTCGGTGGTCAGGAACAAATGTAATCGCATGGCAGGATGCTGTAAAAGGACCAAACTTCAGCCAGGAGAACAACTGAGATAATCCATCCACAATACGAGGTTAGTCATTCATATACTGCTGCATGGGCTGGGCTGTAGTTACATCCTAAGGTTTTAAAAACTGAGCTTAAATAAATGATTAGCAGTAAGTGCAACAGCCGACGGCAGTATTACGAGTATTCAGACTGTCTTAGGACTTTTTGGTTACTAGAAAAAAGTCAAAGCATAAACATTTAACAAACATGAAAGCGCTATAACGCATTTTACTCTCAACAAGCAGGCGGGTGCTGGGAACGCAGTCCAGTTCTTCTTCTTTACTCTTATGCTGTTTTGTGGAATCACAAGGTTTAAAACTACTTATAAACACACACACGGGAAAGTAACTCCACCAGAGTCCTATTCGAGGCACTTTGCCGGTCCACACCGCCCGGCGTAAAGCGAAGCAGGGTTGGAATTGTGCACAGGATTAAAAAAAACAAGATAAATGCTAAAAGAAATTTTAATTTGTAAGTTCATAAATATAAACTCTAAATGCATTTAGATCGTTTTTACTACACTATACAATGTCTCTGTCACGATGTTAATATTCATACTCTCCAACAACATAGGTGGTGACAAAGATTACGAATTCCACCGCATTATGACCAATAGCCAATTGAGGCGATCAGACGTATTTGAGCGGACTGTCTAGCGACTGGTTATAGACAACCACCATAGGATTTCTTAAACTGAGCTGATTGCAATGACTTAGCGGTAATAAAAGCCGAGGGAGGTCAACAGTGATCACTGACTGTTTTAGGAGCTTTTTGAGATTAAATAGAAGAAAATACAAAACATTAAACATGTTAACAACACAAAAGCCATATTAAACGCAGACTACTTTAGGCCCGGAAGTAGGATTCGTCACGTCATCACTTAACGACTGGATATTTTATAGTAACTGTTTTCAAATTGTTTTCATTTTGAGAAATATGTGTAGCCATACATTGTAGTAAAACTTTTAGTGTCTTGAAATGCAGGAGTAAAAGAGTTTAGGCTAATTCTTCAAACATTTTGTAGTTTTCTTTAAAGATTCAGATGTACTTTATATCATTTTAAATAAAAAGTTCAAGTGTACTCTGTATGTTCTGTAACGAATAACACAAAAAATGAGCACATGGGAAAAATTAGCAAAAAAATAACCTTATCATATTCCTCCTTTTATACTTTTCAAATGCCACAACTCAATTAAAAACAAAGTCAATGACGTGGTGTGGAGAGAGTCTGCTGCAGTTTTATCCATTCGCAGCTTAAAGTTGTGAGAGCGATTCTTCTGCTTCTTTTATCATTAAGATGAATGACAACGAACTAATTGAAAAGTGAGCTGACAAAAAGGTTAGGTTTAATATAGAAAATCCAAAAACAGATGCCCTTGCATGAACTGAAAGAACATTTATCCGACTCACCGAGTAATGAGGCTTCTTTGGTGGGATCACGCAGGTGCCAACATGCTGCCCGATGCTGCGGTTTTACCTCACCGACACACCAGTGAAATTAATGCCCCCTTTGTCCCCACCTAGAAGATGAGATAGTAACTGAGATAAGAATACAAACCACATGAGTGTGTGCATATAGCCTGCCAAGCAGACTCTGTCTATTCTTTATTAGCAAAAGGAATCAGTGGATAATTCTAATATTAGCATCACTTTCATGTACTATTTTCAACAATGTGAGCAGTTACATACAGAAGAAGCAGAAAATAATATATATTTATATACGTATATAAATATGTTTGATATAATCAGATTTTCTTTGTTCACTTTAAAAAATGTAAAACATCCTCTCCAGCTCTTTGGTCTCTAGCTTACAGCTTTTTTTGTAACCCACTATTTTAATATTGCAAACAAAATGATGAAAGAAACCTGAAGGTGCACATAAGAAAGCCGTAAAACAAATTTATGGTGGCTGTATCTTCAAATTCATCAAGTGCATCATCAATAAACGTATAAATTCACATCTGGTAGGAATATGCACATTAAGAAAAGAGCATGCAAATGAACATAGCTATGTTTAATTTTCATTTGAATTTTGCAGATTAATGTTGGCCAAAAGAAAAAACGTTGTACTACCTTTAGGCTCATAATGATTACCCCAGGTCAATCTGAAAGACTCCACTTTGCATCTAAGTGGCTTCCTCTTAGTGTTATTAGAAAAATACCCATCTCGTTTTTCAACTCGTGATGCTCTATTTGCATAGAATTAACCTCTCAAAAGACATTTTAAAGGCAGGCTTAAGCTGACGTGCCTCTGGAATATCTTACGTGCATTTGCATAACGTCTGCCTCCTGCTCAGGTGATAAAGCAGTGCTAAGCTGGATTACAGTATTTGGTTCTGTAAGTGTGTGGGTGTGGGTGTAAGACTGCGTACCTGCTGGTGTACCTGAATATGTGCTGGAAACAGGATTATTTTCTTTCTTTCTGTTTTGGCATGCCTACCAATTGTGCCAGCAGGGCCAAAGAGAACACTTTGCTATGCCTGACTGACATGCTACTCATGTGACCTCATGAAAGTACAAATCCCTTCAAGCAGTGTAATAAATCATTGGAGCCAGGTCTGGCCCACAACACTTGGATGGATGCACACACACACACACACAGTGCCAACCATGATATAATATACTGAAGCCAGTTTAGTCTTAAACGCTACACCTACTTTTGTATCCTTGACAATTTAACCTGCTCCAAAAGAGCTTAAACCTACCCATCTAACAGTTTGTGCCAAAAAACAAAAATAAAGACTACTTTTGTATTTTGCAACAAAAAGCTATTTTAGTATTAGAGCCACGTCAATGACGCAGTAAAAGCCCGCAACACTGTACAGTTTTAAGTGATTCGGTTGTTTAATACTCCAAAGACGCATCATTTTTCAGTGCTAACGGGTCACTTCACAGTTACTGTAAGCACTATGAGGAAGTAGACTTCCTACTTTCAGGAAACTTTTTTTCTTCTCGGCTGCTATTTTAAACCAGGTCACCTGCTACTGCTGTGAATTCCACTTTATATAACACGACTCCATCTGACAGGCGTAGGGCACCTATGTACCCGCAGTTCTTGGTAAAAATGCATTACAGCATCTTTTTAACAACAGTGCCCCTAATGTTTTTTTTCTTCCCTGAAAAGAAACAGCAAATTCGATTTAAATTTAATGACTTAATGGCTCTTAAACAGGGCACTCGAATGGCTTCCAACAGTAGCGAAGCGTGATAGTGACAACTCTGCTCCTGTCATTGACGCAAAGTTAGCCTTCCTCACTTATCTGTATTTAACTGTCTTTGCCTAGCCTTTCCACGCATGTCGCATTTGTCGCCGTCACCTTTAATTTGAATCAGTGTGCCACCTGCGCCTCCTGCCAATTTTTTTTACAAATGCTCCCGGTAATTACAACAAGGCATTGAGTAGCATCCGAAGTCTTGTTGAAAAAGATCTTTCATTCTTAGTGCCTGCGATCTCATTTAACACACTTAGGGATATATGTGATGCTGCCAGCAGGGACAGGAAATAAAAATGAGGGTCTCAATCCTCCTTAAGAACAGAGCGTGTGATAATTTGATGTCAACACGCTTCCCCTACGAGTGTATTTGATGAGTTCATTGGAAATCCTGTGGACATGTGGAAGAATGTTCTGGTGTGCACTGGCCTCTGCCCGGGGAGCAGTAACTCAGAGCAACACAAACGCTCCAATTACAGCTGCACCCGCAAGTCCTCCGGGGGAAACCACGGGACTGTTCATTGATCTGAAAAACACCGCTGTGATAGAGGGTAACTTGGCTTCACTTCCAAAGGACATGAACTGTACTTTTAATTATCCCAGCTGGAACGTTATTATGATGATGATAATGAGAGAGACATCATGATTTAGCCGAGGACAGTTCGGCGTTTGCAGTTGTGCGAACTTTAGTTAGTGCAGATTAAAGCGTTAGTGTCACGACACGGCTTTACAGCATAATTATACACTGCAATAACGCTATTTTAATACGGCAGGTGATTCTGAAGATTCAGGGTGTTTGCAGGAGCAAATATAGTGAGAGGTGTGAACAGCGTGCATCACACAGTCTTCATATGAGAACAGCTTTGCTCTTAAAACTGTAGAGCAGCAGCAGTGGAGATCCCTGTACTGCAGAGGGCACCGTTAGCATGCTTTGTGTGTCATCAGCCCAACATGGTAGCCTACTGACAGCATGAGTGGAATTAATCTCAAGCTGTTATTGAATAAAACTGCCTTTGCAAAGGCACTCATTTATTTTTCTATAGTTTGTGCAACATTCATCCCGATTCATAATAAAAGTCAGACAAAGAAGAAAAATATTTGCCACAAGTGAGCAATGCATCATGTCCTGACATGTATTCTACCTTTATCTTAATCCATACTAACATCATTTATTTGTCTGACCCCTGATTTGATTTCTGTGGGCTGACATTATTATTCTCCTGCACTGCTGACATTTGAACGCTGGAGGTAGAAAAAAAAAGAAATCCCCCAGTGGAGTGGCTGTCATCAGTGGAGTTTCTCAGATTAAATAACACAATTGTAGGGTTTGAGTTTTTGTTGTTGTTGTTGTTTTCTTTCTTTTCAATCTTACCCGTTTGGAATAATCAGCTGCGATTGCTGCCTCGGACCAGAGCGACGAAAGAACAGAACTCCTCCGAATTTCCCTGCGGGTAAAGAGACAAAGAGGTCAGGACGTGTCACGCTTTAGTCCATTCACCACTAAACACTTAGATCGGTGTACCGAACGCCAGTGCTGAGTTTGCATACAGAGTCACCGCACCGAGGTGAACGGAGACGAGCATGAGCTGGCACACACTGTAGTGTCTTCGCGCTGATGTGTTATCACCGCAGCCCTATTAGGTTTGTAAACATGCTTCATGCACTTTGAGAAAATGACTTTCCATTGTGCATAATGAGAGCTGCTAAAAATAAAACTCCTGCATGAATGCTGACAGTGTCTGCACCTTTTGCTGAAGACAGGATGGCAGGATGTTTGGTTATGTCTGCTTGGAAGTAATAATTTCTGACAGTGCCTTGTTTTAAAAAGCGTGCAAGAAAGCATAAGTATATGCTTGACACACACACACACACACACACACACACACACAGCCAGTTATAATGACATAGTGCATGTAGTTGGGGCTTTAACTGAATGTGGTTTCAGGTTGTGTTGTGAAAAGGGACACAATATCCAAGCAGTATAAAGGCTGATTTTCATTCTTAGGTAGAGGCATAAATATTAAGTCGTCTACGTTTGCTTCAGTTAAGTAAAACACGTGCCCTCGAGATTGTCTGACTACCCTCAGATGTCACAGTGGCACAGGTGATTGACAGATCTCTGGCTGCGTTTGCCTCCCGTGGAGAAAAAAACAAAAAAAAAACACCCCACACGGATAACTGGATGTTGGACACCGCAGCACAAACTACCTCCCCTATCCGCTGTCTTCAAGCGATCTTCAAAGCGCCACAAACGTGAATCTCGCTTCACTTTCTGCATCTGCAAACCTACTTCACATCATTTTTTTTCTTCACACACCCACTTTGCCGAAGCACTTGATATGCAAAAATCATATGTTTACTTTTGAGATCAAAGTTTCTTTCTTTCCCTCCCCTTCTCCATTTTTTTCACCCCCATCTAAAAATGGACCCGTTTCATTATGCAAGCCAACAAAGAGCAGCGTCTGCTCGCGCAGCCCATTCCAAGCATACTGATTAATTAGCTTGTATAATTAGCTTAATGATTTAGAGAAACATGGCCAAGGCCACCCAAGTAGCTATGCTAATGGACCCCTGTCTACAGCAATTAAAATGCCCATAACTTAACAATGGTGGTGTAGAAGTCCACATAAGAGCTGTTGAGGAAAAAAAAGTAGTTGCAGTAATCAATGCAAGCATCACGTTAGCTGGCCCTGTGGTAATGAATACCTTTGCACTTATCAAATTGTGAAATTGTGTTGCAAGAGTAGCATTTGTACACATGCGGACACCGCTGGAACTCTAAGCGCTAATGAAGTGTTCTCATTTGTCTCTATGATGATTAGTTTTAGCACCGGCGGTACACTTGGTGCATTTATACCGCAAATTAGTCCAGAAATGTGTTGCAAGACGCTGAAAATGTGAACCCTTCTCTGGTGTCACGCAGAGCAAATTTATTGTCCGTCTGCCTTATTACGCCTTTCTATACAATTTCTGTCTGCCAGTTATGCTAACTCCGTCCCTGTGTGAGCACATACTGGAAAGTGAGTGAGTTAGGACATGCAGTTGTGGACTTTATAGTTTCCATTAAATGTGAGTCAAACCAGACAGTATCTCTGCTCTCTGACAGTAGCATCAGCATTCCTGGCTGTACTTCAGACATAAATCGCCCATTTATGACCTTCCCCCTGAACAGTAACCAACAGAGACACCAGCTCGTCTCATAAAACCACCAGAATGTTGAACGAGAGAGAGAGAGGTGAAGACATCACTTCCATCGATACACGGCTTCGAAAATGCCAGTCAAGTGGGAGCAGTTAGAAAAAAAAGAAAATCAAATTCCTATTTGTATATACTTTTAGTGCTATGACTGAATGCTGGAAAGATCTCACCTAGTCATAAATGAGTGGTAATACACTACGCACTGTGCCGCTGACAAAGCGAAAGGAATCACGGCGCCATCGAGCTTGTATAAGCAGAGCAGGAAATGGACTGGGTATGGAGGGTGAGCTCAGAGTTTGTTGCAATATTACTCTAAAACAAGTTCAGAGCTTCTGGCACCAAGATACTTTAGAAAGGCAGACTAAAAACATTCTGATGCTGAATGCAGGACTAGTTAACGATTTAAAGACCAGTTATGATATTTATACATTTATAATTTAAAATGTGATATACGAGTTGCAACATCAGAAACATCAACACTGATAACTTGGTAAACGTTGGTTTTCTTTACCTTTGAAATTTTAATTTATTACTAAGAATTGCCAAATCGACGCTATCAGCTGATAATATCAGCCAGCTATTATACATTATATTATATTCACCCATCCAGTTCATTGAATTCAAGTGTTGGAATCACTTCCATACATACGTAGAAATCATACATATTAAGTCAAGCATCTAGCCATGCTGACTGCTTCTACAAACATTTGTGAAACGATGGGTCGCTCTCGGGAGCTCAGTGAATTCCAGCGTGGTACCATGACAGGATCCCGCCTGTGCAAGAAGTCAGTCATTAATTTTCCTTGCATTGTAACAGGTGCAAAGTTTGGTGCTTTACAGGAGCTGGGCTCGACCCCTTAGTTCTAGTAAAAAGAATTGTTAATGCTTCAGCATACCAAGATATTTTGGACAATTTCATGCTCCTAACTTCATGAAAACAGTTTGGGGTTGGCTCCCTCCTGACTGTGCACAAAGGTGCACAAGCAAGTCCATAAAAACATGGATGAACGAGTTTGGTGTAGAGGAAGTTTACTGGCCTGCACAGAGTCCTGACCCCAAACCAGCAGAACACCTTTGGGATGAATTAGAGCAAGACTTCGGGTGTCTCACAAATGCGCTTTTGGAAGAATGGTCAAAATTTCCCATAAACACTCGTAAACACGTGGAAAATCTTCCCAGAAATGTTGAAACTGTTATAACTGCAGAAGGTGGAACAACATCATATTAAACCCTGTGGATTAAGAAGAGGATGTTGCTCAAGTTCATATGTGTGAAGGCAGACAAGTGAATTCATTTGGCAATATAATGTGTCAGACGGGCTCTAAAACTATCAAATAAATTAAAAGCAATATAAAACTGTCAAAAACAACAATAAGAAGACGAGGTGATGAAACAAAAAGACGGTATAAAAGTAGCTCAAAGTGGAAGCATTGAAAAAGCCTACTTATAAAAATATGTCCTTAAGAGACATTTAAAAGACAATCAGGCTCTCAGCAAGCTGCCCTCCTCAGGGAGATTCTTCCAGACAGTGAGTGCCCTAACAGAAAAAGCCCAGTCACCCTTGGTCCTCAGCTGAGACTGTGGCGTGGCTAACAGAGCCTCAGCCAAGGACCTCTGCAGAGACTGCAGCCTGGCAAATAAATGCTCCACTGGAATGTAACTCATGTGATTTCTGCTTATTAACCCTCTGGAGCCAACAGAGGCGCCGGTGCGTTCACATCACATGACCCATTTAAGACGATCCAGCAGCAAGATCATCTTCACTTGGGTCAAAAGTGCAGACTTTAAACCATATACCAGTTTTTAATCCTAACAGTGCAGTTATGTGGATTTTATCACAGTTTGATGCATAGAAGTCGTACATGACAAAAACCAGCCAACAAAACAATCGCGCTTATGTCGCCTATGCTGTGGACACATCTTACTGTAAATAACACAGAAGCTTTTCAGATGTTTTATAATGTGATGCATGATAATGATAAACTATGTAAAATGATACAAAAGCAAAACTTCTGAATCACATTGATCGCTATAGTTAAGATAATCTCATTATTCAGGCATTTGTTTTAGTTTGACATTACATAGCATCGTTTGCTAGCAATGCTAGGTGCTGCTCTCCCAAAGTGTGGGGTGGGATTAGGGTTAGAGTTGGCATATATGAGGACTTAGATCAAAGAGGGTTATTATCATGAATATCTCAGGATCAGGATTGTTAGGAACTCATTCCTAACCATGTTTGTCACTGAAGACAGCTGCTTGAAGCAAAGGCGCTAATTAGAGCGGTGACAGCTAGCTATAAAAGGAGCTGCAGGGAATAACACCAAAACACTGAGCTGAAAAAGGGGGAAAATTCATTGTAGAGAAACAGCATTGGGTGATAACTTACTTCATGTTCTTGAGTACCAGGTTCAGTTGATTAAAGCAAAAGAAATTATTAGACATGGCTTAAATGAACGGGCTTGTTTTCTTACACAATTTAGAGAAAGATTAAAAATGAAAATAAAGAGGATCATAGTTCAACCTAGCGCTGGCCCCAGTGTGGCACTGAAAACACAAAACAGCCCATCTGCTAAATGCTTGATTAGACTAGGAGTGAAGAAACAAAACTCTGACAGAGACAACAACTTTGATATTATAATTGTTATCATTTTAAAACGGATGCTTAACAGCACTGCCATTTCCAAATGGCTTCAGCATTTCCAGTAGGTTCCATATGCCATGTCTCCGAAAGCCTCTTTAATGAAACAATGTAAGGCAAATGAGTCATTATGATTCGCAGCACTCCCAAACACACTAATTACCACTCAGACTTGATAACAGTCTGTTTGTGTCTGTGTCTGCGTGTTGCCAGCAGGTGCACCGCTATTCACTTGTGCGAGCTGAACATCACAGTCCCGAGTTTGACACCATTGTGTCAAAAACTCTGTGCTCAGCTCGTCAGCTCTGGTGCGCTGTGCCCAAACAAGCCAGCTAAAAATGAGCATTTGGGATCTGCTTTTTTTTTTTTTTTTGCTTCTTTCACTTTCTCTCTCTGTACCCAGAGCTGCCTCTGCGGCACAGACGCAGAATTAGTTATATACTGCATCATGTGTCTGTTCAGGATTGCTGTCATCCTACCCAAAAAAGGAAAAGAGAACAGAAATAAAAAAAAATAATAAAAAAAGGTATGTTTTTAGGAGAGAGGAGGTTTGATATTTTAGACATATTTGCATAGGTTTGCAACAGTCGGGCTGATGTTGACGGATAT